ATGACTAAGAAAAAAAGGAATATGAAAAAAGATTGGAAGCCCCAATAGCAAAGAGCACATCTAGTGCCTAGATCTTAAGTTTCTAAGTACCATTGTCCACTAAAAGAAACATGGCTTCTTGGAGAAATTACTAATGCTAGGGCTAAGGCAGGGGAATTATAAGATGAGCCTGGATACATCAAACTAAAAAGCTTCTGTACAGCAAAGGGAATGATTAACAGAGCGAAAAGGCAACCTACAGAATGGAAGAAAACATTTGCCACCCATATATCTGATAAAAAGAGTTAATATCTAATATGTACATAAGGAACTCCAACAACTCAAAAGCAGAAAAATAAGTAATCCAGTTAAAAAATAAGCAAAGGATTCGAACAGAGATTTCTGCAGAGAAGATATATGGATGGCCAACAGGTATATGAAAAGATGAAGAACACAAATCACCAGGGACATGCAAATTAAAACCCACAATGAGATATCACCTAACACCTGTTAGGATGACTTACTAAAAAGACAAAAGTATTGGTAAGAATTTGGAGAAATTGGAATTGGAACCCTTGTACACCATCAGTGGGACTGTAAAACGGTGTAGCCACTATGGAAAACAAGCAATCCTGCTTCTGGATATTTATCCAAAAATATTGGAATCAGGATATCAAAGAGATATTTGCACTCTCATCTTCATTGCAGCATTGTTGATGATAGCTAACATGTGGAAACAATCTAAATGTCTATCTACAAAAGAATAAAGAAAATATGGTATTATGCCAACTAATAAATGTAGAAGGAATGGTGTAGTTAGAAAATCACCATCTGACAAACAATTGATTCAGGCAAGAATCATCAATGGATGCTAAAACTACTGGGTGAAAGTTTGATAATTAGGATAGCTACATAGTCTAAAATATCTCCCCACTAAATGCTTAATAATTATAAACATAAAAATAGTAACCTTACAGTGAAAAACCTGGTAGACACCATCTTAAATAATGAAAAGTTTATATCACCAGTAATGGGACAAACTGATAATCACATGTTCACTCATTGTATTGAGAGGGAGACAATGTATCTTTTATGGATTCCTGCCAAAAATGCATAATCTGAGTCTAATCATGAGGAAACATCAGACAAATCTAAATATCAAGAGGGACATTCTGCATAATAACTGGCCTGTACTCTTTAAATATGTCAAATTTATAAGAGAATGAATGACAGCCAGAGGAACTGTCGTGGATTCAAGGAGACTAAAGAGCTATGATAATTTAATGCAATGTGATCCTGGATTGGACATGGACCAGAGTTTTGTTTTTTTTTTTCCTGTAAAGGACAGTATTGGGATTATTGGCAATATGTGAATAAAGTCTGTACATTAGATCATAATACTATATCAGCGTTAATTTCCTGATTTTGATAATTGTGTGTAGTTATATTAGAGAATGGCCTTGTTCTTAGGAAATATTTAGGAATAAAGGAGTATTATGTCTGCAGTTTACTCTGATATGGTTCAGACAAAAAATAATGCTATGTATATATATTGAGAGAGAATGTGGCAAATACAAAATGTCAAGAGTTATGGAATCTGGATGAAACCTACGTAAGACTTTTTTGCACTATTATTTCAAAAGAAAGAATATAAAACAATTGGAAGGAAATGTTCCAATATGATAGTTACTGTTTCAGGGTGCTTTTATTATGAGTAATTATCCTTACCAGATTTTCTATAATATACCCTCATGTATATTTTTTAGAGAAATACCATATATAATCTTACAATTATGCCAGACATAGACGTTTATCTCAGTATACTTTTAATTTTGAAAGATAATTGTGGTAGTTGTTTTTGGACTTGATCTGGGATATAGTAGCACCGTGACTTGAATTTTTGTTGATTCCAGCCGGGTCACCAACATAGATAGACCAAAGGGAAAGACCCTGAAAGTGTGGTGCAGAGACCAGTGGAGCTACATTACACA